ATTGGATTAATAGTTTTTGAGATATTGAACCATATAGTTTTAGATAGAAAATTGAATATCTTTAAGACTACTAATTCGCTTTCGCCCACCTGAAATCTCAGCCTGTAATATCGTAAGAGCTAAAATCATACCAAATTTTATCTTCCTATCTTAATTTTTTCAAGCGTTATCGTGTTTACATCAATTTTATCATAAAAATAGAAAATATCAATTACTAGGCGACTCGCAGTAGTTAGCGAGGCATATTAATAGGCCTCATAGCTAGGCATATTAGGCATATTATAAGGAATATTGTGACGCAAAAAAAGTTCATTTGATACAGTAGTTTCCGAGAAATTGAGAAAAGAAAATTTTTTCGGAATCGCTGTATTTCAAAAACTATTGGGCCGATTGAACCAAAATTTCGCGCAGATGTGCTCCCAAACAATACCAATTGTGACCCAAAATTTAAGATTTTTATCTATCACTTTAGTCCTCTTTCTATGAAAATTTGAAAAAAATCCCAGAATTTTGCACGCACATACAGACGTACATATAGACATTCTCTAAAAACATCATATTTCAACGTTTCATGACAATCTAAGTCATTTCCAAGCGAAATGGGAGAATCGAAAAATCGACAAATTACAAAGCTTCCATTCGAACGCAAAAATTGTAAAATTTATCCGGAATTTCGTCCAAAATTCCACCAGCGAAACTGAATTTTTACTCCAAATCTACGAATTTTTCTGTAATAGAGAAGAATAATTTAATCAAATACTGTACTGTGATTTTACAATCTCGCCCCTTCCCATGTCGTTTGTTCTCATAAAAATGTCCAATATGTCATAGATCGGCATCAATCATTACTTTAGTAATATTATGAGACGTTGCATCTTACAGTAATTTAGATTTATTCATCATAATTGAAATTTGAAATAATATAAAAACATAATAATTGGTAATTTAATTGGTCTTTTAATTGGTAATTTAATTTCTCAATTATTGGTTGATAAAATCATTCGGAATTGGAAAATTTAAATTGATAGTTAGTTTTATAATCAAAAAATTGGTGAGTAATATTAGTAATTGACTCATTCAAAATTTAACTGTACTTCAAAATTTCGATTATGCCGATGTCTACAATAAATTTTTTTTACTGGAAATTCCAGTAAAAAAAATTCTAGATGTTCTCTTTTGTCCCAAAAATTCTCTATTCATTTTAATTCGTCGTTCCCCGTGAGTTTTTTTTTATTAGTTTCCCGTGAGTTGCTCTATCCCATTGTTGATCCGATCCAAAATGAAAAATCTTTCCACTCCGTGATACAGCGAATTTACCACACGAAAGGATGATTGAGGTGGACATACACTAACGTGTCAAGCTGGAACGCGTTCGCCAGTAAAATTAGCGATAACACAGACGAGCTGACCCGTACACGTTCAATTTTCAAGCAGGTGTGCGGCGCTACAGCCCGCGGGTTAACGATCCTGGTCTTCAGCCACGCGAGCAAACCAAAGTACTAGTAGCTTCCACTATACCTGTATTTGTTGGGGGTTGAAGGGACGGGAAGGGTCGCTGTGGACGCACCACAAACGTCGTGGCACCATGTGCTACACTATTGGCCCGACCATGCGTTGACCCGCACTCCTTGATTTAGAATATCGCTGCCCACATATCCGACTGAGTGCATCTTTTTCCGTTACTATCTCGACGGGTGTACTTTACAATTGTCGAAATTAAACCCGTTACTTCACTTCAAATATTTGGAGAACTGACAAATGAATTTTTTATGATTTAATTTCTTCTCTCCTTGACAAATATGTGGAGAATATACGGCGAAACCAAGTTGTCCGTATTTGAGTCAAGATATTGTAACTTGATTTGATGGATATTATGAGGAATATCTTGACTTTAAAAAAATTGTGGAATTGTGGAATTGCGGAATCTCCCTTACATTCCGAGATATTCATTGAAAACTGGTCAATAGTCACAATTGACTTGCATCGTTTTACCAATTCGCTACTGAATTATAAACAATTGATGGAAAAAAGGAATATCGAATTTGACAGGAAAACGGGCATAACGAATGTGGCATCCACACATTATTCAAACAAATCCACCAAACTTGAAAAAAGTCCGAATGAAATTATTTGTAACTCAAGACTATCATTAACAATATGCAACAGGAAACCAAAAACTTTTTCTCCGTATAAACAACCATGTTACAGCTCCAGAGATAACTCCACCCAACAATTAACTTCATCTCCCACTCGAATATGAAGAGTTCCACCTGCAATATCTCCCGAGCCTCCTGTCCGCTAACTGCGCTCCGGAATAATGCAATCATAACTGCAATAATGAAATTGCGTCCGCCCCAACTCCCGAATTCACTCATTGAGAAGTGCCCAACGACTTATCTCATCATCCCATGAATTCCCAAGACTCACCAGCAACGCGCCAAAAAACATTAGCATAAACAAGACCACAACAAAAGCCGGATGCATTTCCCGACACGAAAAGAGGAAAAAACAAATTCTAAAATATAGCAATGCTCAAAAATTCTTGCGAAGACAGGAAGCAATAGCCCACAAATGTGTTTCCATATTTTACCCACCTCCGTCTCTCCATTTTATACAGTATTCTGAATGCCGTATACCGGGAGAGGCTCCCTCTTTAGCAGAAGCGATTTATTTCGAAATATTCCGTACATAGTAGTTGGATTGAAGCCAAAAACGGAATCGAGCGATTCACTGAAAGAGACCGTGAGTGGGTGGGAGGGAGGGCGTTAAGTGCATAACCAGAGCGAGAAGACTCAACAGAGGGGAATCCAAATAGAGAAGTGAACCGACGCAATCGTCCTGGATTACGTGAGAGAAGGGTCCTGGAGGATTAAGGACATGGGACAGACTGGAAAATAGTCAGTTATATGCAAAGAATACCTACCGAGTGTTCCTTTGACGCTATAAATTGCAAATGGCCCGATCGTTTACAGTCAATTTGGAGTAATTGAATTTTTATTGGATTGCTCAGTCACTGACATTAAATTTCATTACGCTACTTTAATTGAACATAAAAGGGCGTGAGAGGACAACGCTGAAGGACACGGGCGATTACTGCGCGGGGAAAAAAATGAGGAATCGGTGATATATTTATTGACAAAATTTAGTGAAAACTGATGGATGAAAAAGGGGAGTTTCATGAATAATTCAGTAGTCATTTTTAGGGGAGTGACTTTGAATTGAATTAAGGGAGGGAGGAATCGATCAATGCTCTCGGTAGTAGGAAGACAGCAGTTCTCCAGTTTCCTTGGATTTTTAATCAAAAGATACTTGTACACTGTAAATTACGATTCTCAAAATTGAAAATCAATTCGGTTTAGAAAGCACCCATCACAATCGCAATATACTGATTTTTTCCTACAAATATCTTCTTCTGAATCCGTCTACTTACAAAAATGCGCAAGAAAGCTCTTTTTATCCGTCGATAATATTCGCTTTTCTCAATGAAGTAATCAATTGAAAGTATTGAAATTAAATGATAAAAGTACTTGAGAGAAGTTCAAAAATTACTTTTCACCAGTACCTCTGGTACTTGTGAAAAGTACTAAAAGTACTGGCAGAAACTAGTGAAGCTACTTCCTCCTAGCATTGTTGAAAATTTTCATCTGAATTTTCCGTGCCAAATTTCAGAAATTTTTATCATGTTCAAGTTCCACTGAATTTTCAAGAAATCTTGTCATTGAAAAATCAAATATTTCATTGATTTTCTGTTCAAATGATCTGGAAATTAATAAAATAATTGATTTTTCAGTTCAATTATTCTGTGAAAATTTAGAAAAATCAGGAAAATTCAGAGAAAAATGGAAAATTTATGTTATTTTATTTCTGAATATTTATGTTCTACTGAAAATTTAATCAAGTTATGAAATTTCTATCTCACTCCTACTTGAAACTTGAAATTTTATAACCATTTTTTCCCTAAATTCGATTCAATGTCACTCTTATAAGATTTTCTATTATATCTTCCATGAAATTTCAAAAAAATTCCAACAGTGTATTTCTACTTGATCGGTAGAGGTGGTACTTCCCTCAAGGATACAAAAAGTACTTGGGAAAAGTACTTCTCGAACTGTTCACCAGCGAACTTTCCCGAAGTACCGGTCGGTGCTGCTGAGAAATACATTTTTCTTTGGATCTAGCTCAAGAATATTGCCCTGTCGGTACACAACACCCTCTGTGCTTCAAAATTGTAGAAAATTCCCCTCAAGTTTTTCCGCATACACTTGGAGCATTACAGTGTTAATTTTACGGCAACTTTTCTCTCCGTTTTAAAAATAGTGCAACATCCCTTCGATCTCTATCACTATACATATACTCGGATGTAGCCTCGCCCTTGTGTATATACCAGGCAACAGTCATGATTTATGGTATATTCCTGAAAGAGTTAATGGAAGCAAAATAGCACCGGGGCACCATGAATCCTTCCATATCGGTGAACATTATTGATGGCAAGGCCTCGATACTGAACGCTATCTACCCATACACCGGAGAGACCATAATTTATTGGCGAGAACTGTTGACTATTAATACCTACCTGGCACCAGAAAATTTCATATTTTCCGAGTGTGGATGAAAAGATGGGGCATATATGTCAGTTTTACTATAGAAAAACTAGGTTTCATTCTATTTTTTAGTGGCGCGGGAGGGGGAGAGGGAATTTTGTTAGCAATTGGAAGATAAATCTGTCGGGTGCATGATACGTTCTGCATTCGCTATGGGGAAATTGTTTTATCATGAAGGGGGATCGTAGGTGTATCAGATAATTTTGTTTGCCGAACGGAGTTGAGTTGTTTTTATTCATGAAACTGTTTTCTGTCGATTTTTCCGTGATGAGACTCTGTTTTGAAAGCTTTTCAGTATCAATTGAATTCAATTTGACGAAGCTATTGATGATTGTCGTGTACTGATCTGGCATATGAGTCGATTTTTATCAATTATTTTCGATGTTTTCAATGTTTCAGTTCTACCGCCACACTTACCTGGCTGAATACAGGATCGTCAACCTGCAAACTTTGTGAGTATTTAATGTACTTCTCACTCACTGCTACTTTATAATAATCTACAGTGATAGACTGATTCATTTATTCCAAATGAGATTCGTTAACTACTAGCGAAAGGGCGCTTCGCGCCCGTCGCTAGATTATATTGTATTATATTAATTTATTTTATTGTTTTCTTTCCAATTTTTCTTTCCGGTTAGATTAAATTAAATTTATTGGATTCTATTCCCATTGTAGTATACAAATTGTAGGAACAGTTTTTCTCATTTTTAAATGAAGAGATATTTATGTTAAATAATATCAGTATAATATAATAATTCCTCTCAATGAAATCAGATCATGAAAATGAAATTTTAAAATTTTAAATTTTTGAAAATTTCCAAATAAATCAAAATAACGATTATTGCTATCGCCTTCATCTTCGAACTCGATCAAAAGGACATCCAAACAAATTTTTTAAGCCATCATTTAATCAATTCAGAATATTTTTTTTAGTCATCGTGGGACAACCGATTTTCGAAAAAAAAATCGAAAATTAACAAAAATAGTCTATGAATTAAATTTGAATTAATGACGATTGATAGGGCTCAACAATACCTACATTTAAGAAAAAAGACTCAATTCCATCCATTCATTAGCGAACAATTGATGAAAAACTTTGTCACAAATCCAAAACTTAAATTTGAACGATTTAAAATTTTTTTCTGGGTCTTTTAAACCCAAAACACATTCATCTTATAATCACCCCCTACAGGTCGATCTCCTCACGTCCGGAGGAACGTTGATAACCTTCAAAATCATCGACTTTGTTCCAAAAACCAGAAACTTTTCTCCAAATGATCTATAAACAAGCTGCTTACCCTACGCAAACCTCCTGTAATATTTCACACTTACCTCAAGTAGAAAATTTTTGATTTGCATTTTAATCTCGACGCAAGACCCCTGTGTCTGCACATACAAATGTATGTGCAGCGCAAATTACGAAGTGCGCCAGAATTTAATCCGCCTTGCCCCCGTGGTTTTCTCTGTTTCTACCACTGGTCCTTCAGACGGCGACCCACTGAGCTTTCCTCTGCCACCTCCAGTTAAATTTGTACATTAACTTGGTATCCGAGTGCAGGAAAGGAGCGAGCGAGAGAGAAAAATCATCTCCTGATTAAGGTAGCGAGGATTTACCGTGGCTTAACCTTAGGATTTTCACGAACGTTAGCTATTTTTTTCTTCTTCTTCAGCAGTCATCACCGCAATTTGTGAATTTTTTTGCATTCAAATGTACTCATCCTTATTTCCATTTTGTTTCCTTTTTCATTTAGCAAATTCCTTCTTTCCGGGTACAAAGAATCCACTTAAATAGAAACCCTGGGAGAAAATTCTCGGGCTTGTTTTTTTTTCCACTCCGGGGGGAAGAATTGCCGTCATTCTGTGGTCGTCGACGCAGCAGAAGCCTTCATTTCTCTCAACGGTATTTCTCAACGTTGAGCTCATCTTCTGTATACCGGAAGGAAGGGTTTTTGCCCGTTGCCGACGTCACTTACAAAGACGGTAATAACGAACGTCTAAGCGCTCTAGACACCTGAATGTCTTGGCGTTCGTCTAATTGTTGAGTCGGGATGAGAATGCATTGAATAAGGGAGCCATTGTTTTCGTTCCATCTGGATGGGTTTGCTGATGGACGAAATGGGATTATTATATTCTGGGATTCATGCAGCTGAATCGAAAGGTTTCGGTCATCATAGAATAGAGCAGAATAGAATAGTTTTACTTGAGGCCCTCAGACGCAAAGATTGTAATCAGATCCGTTACGGGGAGACTACTAGGGGAGGGTGGGGCAAAACGGCCCCCCTTCAATTGTCAATAACTTGTGAATGACATTGTGAAAATTCCCAGTTTCAACTTCATTTTGAAGATAATTTTTCATTCTTCAAAACGAGCTCTAACTCATCCCAATCGGATTATTGAATCGGAAAATATTGACGATTGAAGGGGGGCCGTTTTGCCCCATCCTCCCCTATAAGTTTTAAAAGTCGTGGGTTATTGGAGTGAGACTTTTCATACATTGAAAATCGATTATATAGATCTGAAAACGAATATTTAGTGCAAAAAAACTTTTGTTTTATTGCTCGTTTGCCCGAAAACGTTTAAAAGGCCAAAAGCAGTCCAGGGCCTCCAATTTGTAAGCTACAAGGGATGTTTTTTTTTTAATTTTCAGAAAAATATGTGGAATATAACAATTACGAGCTAGTTTTTTTTAAATTCGCCTCTTACATGGCTAAATTAGCTTTTTTAATTTTTTTTTTGCACAAATAGTGAATTTTTTACATGAAAATAACCGAAATCAGCTGTGTAGAAATCGAATTTCAGAAAACTGGCTCGTAATTGTTGTTCCACATATTTTTCCGAAAATTTTCAAAAAAAAAAATCTTTTGTAGCTCAAAAATTGGAGGCCCTGGACTGTTTTTAGGATTTTAAGCATTTTCGGGCAGACGAACAATAAACAATTTTTTTTTTGCACTAATTATTCGTTTTCAGATCTATATAATCGATCTTCAACGTATGCAAAGTCTCACTCCAATAACCCACGGCTTTTAAAACTCACAGTAGTTTCCCCTTAAGGGCAATACGATTGTTTACACGAAATTCATGCAAACGACTATAGGATGTGATGTTTTTTAGTTTTGTTTTTGCATAAAACCACATTATTTTTCCAATTATCTGATTAATTTATTCATTCACTGTGTAGATTATTATTATGAATATTATAATTGGGGGCACCATAAAAATTATAGTACCCCCAATAATCTTTCCGATGCTGATCGATAATTTTTATAGTACTAGTACACAAATTTTTTGTAGAAAATTTCTCTATGTGTGAATTTTCGTCTGAATTTTCCATGCCAAATTCCGAAAATTTTTATCATGTTTCACTGAAATTTCCAGAAATTTTGTCATTGAAAAATCAAATATTCCTGTCATTTTCTGTTCAAATGATCTGGAAATCAATAAAATACTTGATTTTTCAGTTCAATTATTTTGTTGAAATTCGGGAAAATCAGGAAAATTCAGGAAAAAATTAAAATATCTTGTCATTTTGTTCCTGAATATTCACGTTCCACTGAAAATTCAATCAAGTTGTGAAATTTCCATCTCATTCCCACTGAAAACTCATGAATTTCCGTGAGTTCTACTTAGAATTTGAAATTTCATAACCATTTTTTTCCGTATCCATTTTAATTCGATACAATGTCACTCTTATGAGATTTACTACAATATTGCCCATGAAATTTCAAGAAATTTCCAACAGTGAATATGGAATTCCCGTCACCAACAGTTTGCACGTCGTCAACTCGACGTTGATTCAATATTCGTGGTGTCGTGACTCAAGGAGATCTCAGGGTTCTTATTAGAAGAGGTTATTACGCTGTGAGTTGGGGGAAATTGAAGTGGGGAATTGATGACGAATTAGTTTCAGAAGAAAAGACTACTTATTCCGAGCCTCAAGTGCTATAATTTGCATAAACAGTGGAATCGATCGTTACAGACTCATGAAATTCGTTACAATTAATGTCTTCAAGTGATATTTTGAAATGACTGCTGAATAATTTATAAATTGAGTTTTTAATAATCCCTTGCGACGGAACAGCTCCCCTTAACTTCAGAATATTTCTGTTTTTGAACTAAACATGAAAGGATACCATGTAACATGAAATAACGGAAAAATATAAAAAAGAAAAGCGACTATGTAAAGGTATACGTTAGGGGAGAAGAAAAAAATGGAGCAGAATGAATGAGTCAAAGGGTTGACACGAAAAATTGCAGTGTTCCAGCTTGTCCATCGCGAAAGGTCTATTTATGTAGTACTCCGCACATTTTTTATGCACGACTTCACAGGAAATTCCATCGCAAATTGAGTCCTATAATTAAATGGAAGTGGTTCATCACAATGAGTAAACACAAAGGGCTGAGTATGAGAATGAATGACTGAAACCTTTGACAGGTGATAGTTATTAATTAATGAGCAAAGTGATGGAATCATAAAAAACTAGAGATTGCAACACTCAATTGCACTGACCTAGATCCTGAAGCAGACTGTCCGGGGATCGCATGCCGAAGTCTATCAACAGGAAAACGGATAATAAATCTCAAATATACTCATCACGATGGAAGATAGTGCTCTCTCCCCGAGGGCATTGAGTAAGGCCTTTATCAATGCTGAACGTAACTCAATCGACATACTCTCATAGAAAATATAGCTGTACTTGAGAAAATTTGGGTGAATTGTTCGGGAAAGGACCTTGAATTCGATTTAAGGGGAAAAACACGATGGAATTTAAATTTTCTCTGGAAATTCAAGTGAAGGGCCAATTTTTTAGCAGCAGAAAGGCGGAAATTTCACAATTTACATGAACTTTTAAGTGAAAATAAATCAAAAAACAAAAATAAATTTTTGCAAAAAAACTCGGCAAGAAAAAATGGAAATCTCTATATTATAGAAATCTAAATCGACTTAAATCGACCTAATCGAAAGTAAGGGTCAGGAGGGCCAGAGTAAGGGTTATGGGGATCAAAATAAGGGTCGCGAGGGTCAGAATAAGGGCCACAAAGGTCAGATTAAAGGCCACGAGAGTCATATTAAGGGTCCAAATAAGGGTCATGGGGGTTTGGGTGAATTTTCTGGAAAAGGACCTTGAATTCCATTTAGAAGGAAAAAGTTAATGAAATTTAAAGTTTCTCTGGAAATTCAAGTAAAGGACCAATTTTTTAGCGGCAGAACGGTGGAAATTTCACAATTTACATGAATTTTTAAGTGAAAATGAATCAAGAACGAAAATAAATTTTTGCAAAAAAATTCGCCAAGAAAAAATGGAAATGTCTATATTATAAAAATCTAAATCGGCTTCTAGTGTTGAAAATTTGGTATTCGAAATTGAGACTTCGAAAATCAAGGTCACAAGGGTCAAAATAAGGGTCACGAGGGTCAAATTAAGGGTCAGGAGGGCCAAAGTAAGGGTTATGG